CAAAAAAAAAAAAAAAAAAAAAAAAAAAAAAAAAAATATTAAAAAAAAAAAAAAAAAAAAAAAAAAATTTTTAATTAATAATAAAAAATGTAGTCAAACACATACGCATAAGTAGCTGTAATCTGAGAGACAAATTCTCTGCTTGTAGGAGACTGAAGTTTCATCTGCAGCCACGGCCTTTGGTGTGTCTCTCTTCCTCTTATAGGGTTCTATCGCTCAGCAGCCCCTCCAGGAATAGCTGAGGGAAGAATCACATCTGAAAAAAGGGTGGGAGACCCCAAGCAATAACACTGATAGATGGGTCTCCCTGCTCTCTGACAAGGTACCTGAGCCATTCACAGGCAGCCAGTGCATCATCTGAGAGCTTTTTCCATCCTCACTCTCTTTCTGTAATGTCTTGTGTAAACTCCCTCATCCCCATCTTATCTCCCTACCACACGATAACCACCAGCTGGCTCTAACTTGATGCATCCTGTGATCTGGACCTGCAGCCGGGATGCTCCTCCTATGCTGGGGAAGCTGCAGGCCCAGATGTAGGGGATTTGTGTGACCAACCTTCAAACTTTCCTGGCAAGGAGTCAGCGGCCCGGGCCCTCCGCTTCTTCTTCTTCCTCCTGTCACCATCTTCGATGGGAAGGGGTTCGCTGCTGCCCATCTCTGGGAGATAAGAGGAGATGTAAGGGAAACATCACTGTACTGATCAAGCTGTAAATTTACCCAGAAGGAAAAAAAAAAAAAGGTAGTGGGGGGAGGACCCAGGAGCTTTACGCTGATGGTTTTTAAGTATCTGTGAAGACTATTGATTTGTTTTGACCTAGGAGGAAAAACTAAAGGCAAAACCATTATGGGAGATCATTAACTGTGGAAAGGAGCTCAGACAGGCGGGCTAGATTAAAAGAGGGCAGCAGAAGCCTGCTGTAACCAAGCTCATTAGCACATGGATTTAGATCTGCCACTGGTCAAACCATATTCCTCAAACAGAACAATGACTCCATAGGCAGAACCCCACCTGTGACATCCTCCAGCCTCAGGACCAGAAAGGCAAAACCGAGGGAGCTAGGCAAGAAGGGGGTTGGGAGTGGGCCATCCAGATGAGTCATAGGCTCAGCAACATTGCTATGGATGTGCACAGGGCACAAAAGGCTGGAGTGGAAATGGCCTCTGTGAAGGTAGCCATAGGGCTGGGGCTGGGATTCAAAATGGCCCCAAATTACTTTATGTCCAAGAGCACAGACCTGAGTGCCCATGGAGCCTATGGTATCCTCTCCTCCCACAGCTCCTCCATCAGAAGGGCTGCAGGTAGGACCCATTCGGGAGTCTGCAGTTGACAGGTCTGCACCAGGCTGCTGGATGAGGTCACTTATTGCAAAAACCTTATTATCTCCATTGGCAAGCACCTGGCTCCCCATCTTAAAAGGAGGATTTGTGGGGCAGGCATTCAGACACTGCACAGATTGGGCAGAAAAGGGTCAGATGAAAAGAATAAGCAGGACACTGAGATGGGAAAGAGAAAAGGAGGAACAGTGAACCAGTGCCCAATCACCATCCTGTTTCTAAGACACTCTAGCATGGGCCTGTCCCTGTTAAAGATAAATTACTTATAGAACATGTCATGTCCCTGATCCAGAGTGGAGCCTTAATACTCTTTGCCTGCAGTTAGAAATAATAAGATTTCTCTGAAGTCTCTGGGTCTAAATCCCCACCAGGGTGATTAAACCTTTACATCCTTCTGAAATAGAGGCACTCGAGTGCTGATGGGGCATACGACGTGAGAGACTTTTAGACCAACCTTCAATAAACACAGGCTCTGGGTTGTTGGTATTTTTCTTTCTTTTTTTTTTTTTCTGAGCTTTTAAAATGGAAGCTGGCTCTTTGCCCATTGAGGGGAAAGGCCCACTCTCTTCTCAGAGGATCCAGCTGCATACGATCAGAGAAACAGCACGTCTGCTAGGAAGACTGATTAGTGCCCATGCAGGTCCATACACTGTTCTCAGAGGCAAGTACATGACAGCCATCAGGAGAAAGCACACAGGATGGCACTTCAACCCCACAATCCAGAAAGCACGGTTATGCAGCCAAGTGTCTGACAGCTCAATTTAGGCGCATTCTTCCAACCACTTTGGGGATCTGATGATAGCACATTTTTAATTATAGTTTAGAATGGAGAACAGATAAACACACAGATAAAAGAAATCCACAGAGGATCTTAAAATATAACTCTAGTCAACAGCTTCAAACACAAGATATATCTGGGGACTGCAACACCTTATGAATCCAAAGAATATCTGGCTGAGTATGGTGGCTCACGTCTGTAATCCCAGCACTTCAGGAGGCCAAGGCAGGCAGATCACTTGAGGTCAGAAGTTCAAGACCAGCCTGGCCAACATGGTGAAACCTGTCTCTACTAAAAATACAAAAATTAGCTGGGCGTGGTGGCGGGTGCCTGTAGTTCCAGCTACTCGGGAGGCTGAGGCAGGAGAACTGCTTGAACCTGGGAGGTGGAGGTTACAGTGAGCCAAGGTCATGCCACTGCACTCCAGCCTGGGCGAAAAAGCAAGATTCCGTCTCAAAACATCAAACAACAAAAACAAATCAGCACCTCAACGCGCACCCTTGTCAAGGTAAATTAAGGGAAAAAAGCTTCCCAAATGTATAATATAATAAAAAATTCAACAGAAATAAAACACAGCATCGCTCATCTTCAGGAGCTCAGGGAGGGGGTGCCAGCCATGGGGTCAGCAGGCTGAGGAGGAGGAATCACAGTCTCTCTTGCCCTGACCTTGAGTGCAGTCTAGTGGCAACCCGTGTCCCCATCTATTTTCTCATCAGCACCGCAAGCCCCGTGCAGAGGAAACAGATTTGGATTTCAGCTCTTTCTCCTTCCCCCGTCCACACTCTTTTGGAGGGCCTGAGGACAAGCAAAACAGCCGAAAGGCAGGCAGAGCAGAGGAGCAGCAAGAGGGCTGGCGGCATTACAATTCACAGGGGACACTCAGGCACACGACTCTAACGAGAAAACCCTGTTAGCCACAATTTATACTTGGTCTTTACCACGGCAGGGCTGAGGGAGCCTCCTGTGCGAGAAGCATACCTCCCAGCACTGCCGCACACTCAATATTAGATTTTATGGCTTCACACACACACACAGATAGAGTACCTGGTATATTCTGCATGGATTTCAATGAAAGAGGGTACGCCAGAAGGGACAAATGGTTAAGACTTTCCTTGGAAACAGAACTTGGAGGAGAGTTGTTTCTGAAACTAGGAAGGAAAAAATGTAGGAAGATGGGTGAAGTGAAAGAAGCATGCTTAACTTTCCTGGTTACATAGGGGGAAGTGAGAGGTATCATAATCTCACCAAGGGGTTCCTAGTTTTCGTGGTACCATTACTATGCAGGGGACAAGGAAAGGGGACACTCAAACAGACACCAGTCAGATTTAACACATGACGGAAGAAAGAAGCCATTTGTAAAGTCAGCTTAATCAAAGGACAGTCTGTAGTGAGACTGCAAGGGGCTAAGGTATTCTTTCTCCAAGGGTCTGATGGGAGGGGAGGCTGGGCCACAGCATGCAGGTGGCAGCGTCTTGCACCACTGCAATGAAACTGGCAGGTGAGGCCTGCTAGGGTGCCAGCAAGGGATCCCCCACAGGCCTCAGACAGGACTGGGGGCCTGGGAGTCCCAGAGGCAAAAGGTCACGACTCCATTCCATCTTCTCCCTCTGTTCTGATTCTGGGATCACAAGCAGCCTTCAGAGCTGTTACTACGTCTCCTGTGGAAGGAACCACAAGAAGGAGGACATGGAAGGGGGGAAGGAAGTATGTGCTGAAGAAAGAGCAAGTAGGAGGAAGGGACTGGATGGGGATGGGGAGCAGCGTGCAGAAAGCTGACAAAGGTGGGCTGTACTCTGGGCCCCCAAGCACAAACACAGCCCACAAGGCTCTCCAACCCCTGGACCCTGTCTACCTTCCAGGCACCCAACACAGTCATTGTCTCATGGAAAAATGAAACTAGTGGCTAGTTCCACTTGCAGTTCAAGGGATCCCACACGTGCTTTTCCTTGAGAAAAGTGCTATACTTTGGTTTGCTGCAGAAGTGCTTTATGGGCATTTCTATTTTGTTACACAGAATATTAAAGAAAACTATAATATTTAACAAAATACTGGAATTCAACAAAACTGATCATTTTTGCTGCTTCATCAAGGACATTCAAAGCCGGGTGTGGTGGCTCATGCCTGTGATCCCAGCACTTTGGGAAGAGAAGGCAGGTGGATAATCTGAGGTCAGGAGTTTGAGACCAGCCTAGCCAACATGGCAAAACTCCATCTCTACTAAAAATACAAAAATTAGCTGGGAGTGGTGGGAGGTGTCTCTAATCTCAGTTACTCAGGAGGCTGAAGCAGGAGAACTGCTTGACCCCGGGAGGCGGAAGTTGCATTGTGCCAAGGTCATGCCGCTGTACTCTAGCCTGGGTGACAAAGTGAGACTCCATCACTCAGATGGAGTCTGAGAGAAAGCAAAACAAAAAGCTCAGAGAACATAGTGGAGAATACAAAGGCTAATAGCACAGTTCAGCATCACCACCTTGACCAAGGCACCAATAGTCTTACCCATTGTTGCTTTGCAACAACAGACAGCATCTTAGTACTATTACAAAAATCATTTTGACTGCACAGATTCCTGAAAGAGTTTTGGGGACCCCCACGGTCTGCAGTGTACACTGCAAACCACTGGCCCAGGTGATGGGCAGGGACTGGGTATGCCTGGAGCTGTGCCTGGGTGCCATGGAACTGACTGTGATGCGAAGAGCAAACTGGAGGCTAGAGAGAGAGTGTGGGCTGAAAGAGGCTGTATGTAACAGCCCGGGGCAGGGCAAGAAAGGCCTACAACTGAGACAGGGAGAGCAGGGACAGCAAGGAAGGGGAAGTGAGGTGTGAAACAGAATGAGGGAATGAAGCCATTGGGGTAGCACTGGTCCTAGTCCTACCAAATTACTGAAGAAGGTGAAGGGGGCAAAAACCACTGCCCTCCTTGAAGGAAGGGACGTTCTGATTCCTTTCTATCCCCACTGCCCAGTATGCAGCCAGGCAGAGGCGGATCTCATATACTTATGATTACATATTTATTAACCCAAGTTAATAAGAACCATAAGAACAGTAGGACCATCAAAGAAGGGGAGAATTAAGGAAGGGGAGCTGGCTGGGGATGGGAAGCAGGGAAAGACAATGGCACCACCAGGGAGCTTCAGATGAGGAAGGGGAACACACAGCAGCCAGGGACTATGAGAACTCACTGGCCAGGCTAAAACCACTGTCACTCAGCCCTCATCTGACCCAAATCTACAAATGAGGCATTATTCATAATCTCCCAAGTGTGACACCTCTGGTGACAGTGTAACACAGAACACTTCAAAATGTCATCATATATATCATATATATATATATAGAAGTTTAAAAAAATCCTGAAAAGATACATCTCAAATTATTATTATTATTTGGAGACAGAGTTTCGCTCTTGTTGCCCAGGCTGGAGTACAGTGGCACGATCTTGGCTCACCACAACCTCCGCCTCCCAGGTTCAAGTGATTCTCCTGCCTCAGCCTCCCAAGTAGCTGGGATTACAGGCACGCACCACCATGCCAGGCTAATTTTGTATTTATAGTAGAGGTGGGGTTTCTCCATGTTGGTCAGGCTGGTCTCAAACTCCCGACCTCAGGTGATCCACCCACCTCAGCCTCCCAAAGTGCTGAGATTACAGGCGTAAGCCACTGCACCCGGCCCAAATTATTACTATTTTTTGAGATAGGGTCTTGCTCTGTCACCCAGGCTGGAGTGCAGTGGCACAATCTCAGCTCACTGCAGCCTCCGCCTCCCAGGTTCAAGCAATCCTCTTGCCCTAGCCTCCCAAGTAGCTGGGACTACAGGCATGTACCACCATACCTGGCCACTTTTAAAATTCTTTGTAGAGACAGTCTTGCTGTGTTGGCCAGGCTGGCCACATTATTAGCAATGGTTATTTGGGGAGGGACAGTGTCTAATTCTTCTCTATCTCCACTGTCTAGTATGGAGGCAGGCAGAGCAGGGGCTTCATATACTTCTGTTGTATTTTATCTTGTTTTGTTATGACGTAGTTGTTTTAATTTCACAATTAAATGATCTGACCAGGCATGGTGGCTCATGCCTGTAATCCCAGCACTTGAAGAGGCTGAAGCAGGCAGATCACCTGAGGGTCAGGAGTTTGAGATCAGCCTGGCCAACATGGTGAAACCCTGTCTCTACTAAAAACACAAAAATTAGCTGGGTGTGGTGGTGCACGCCTGGAATCCGAGCTACTCAGGAAGTTGAGGCAGGAGAATCGCTTGAACCCGGGAGGCAGAGGCTGCAGTGAGCCGAGACTGTACCACTGCACTCCAGCCTGGGCGACAGAGCGGAACTCTGTCTCAAAAAAAAAAAAAAAAAAGTAAATAAATATGTTTTAGTTACCATAGGTTTTCCTTATGATCCTCTGCCGTGTCATTCTGTAGAAATGTGTTCCTCTTACCAAGCATTATTTGAGACATGCCAGGGCAGCTCCGCTCATCCCAGCTGCCCAACTAAGTGCTGAGAACCATGATCTGTTAGATGGTCTCTTACCTGCCCCTTCCTCTGGACGTATCAGACCATTTCAATTTGAAGTAATCTAAAAGGATAACTAAAATGTACTCCCAATTTTACCTATAGGTTTTTCCAACTTTTTGGAAGATATCCTCCGTAAACTTGAAATCCCAAATGAAATAAAGCCCCTGTCAGGGAGTTGGTGTCTTCCAGCTACACAAAGTGTCTCAATGGTCTTTGTACGTGGCCAGCAATCTTCAGTTCTCCATTGCCCTCTGACAAGTAAACTTTGAAAAAGCAGAAACAGAAAGGAAATCAAAATGCTGACTTTTTTAAAAGGACCAGAGAAGATAAAGATCAATCTGAATGTGCCCCGAACCTATGAGTTACCCCACTAAGCAGATATACACACAGCAATCACAGATTTCCTGTCTTTAAAATCAGACATTTAAATTTAATTTTCTGTAGAGACAGAGTCTTGTTATGTTGCCCGGCCTGGCCAAATTATGAACAATGATTATTTGGGAAGGGGCAGTTTCTAAGTCCTCTCTATCCTCACTGCCATTAAGCATTGGAAGATTTAACAAAGGTCTGAGTTAAATTTTTCAGATTCTGTTTCCATTATGGAATTCCAGACCCAAAAAGATATAACTGGACTTAGATGATAGAGATGGACATCTCTGCTCTGAGAAGTCTCAGGCCAAAGGGAAAAGTTCACAGACCAGGCGTGGTGGCTCATGCCTGTAATCCCAGCATTTTGGGAGGCTGAGGCAGGTGGACTGACCTAGCTCTGGAATTCAAGACCAGCCTGGGCAACATGGTGAAACCCA